CTGAGGGTGTAAATTAAAACAAGAGGAGATTACATATCATTCTCCCAAGGAACCACTCATAAATGCAAACCATTAGAGACCCTGTTCTCCAGAATCACTGTCAACCTTTGTCCTGTGGAGCAGGAAGAGGATTTATATCTCTGACCTTTTGGTAAGCAGCGCAACACATAAAAGTGCATTTGGTGTCCTGTCAAGAGTGCTTTCCTCAGAGGTTCAAAACCACCAACTGCTCCAAAACAAAGATGAGCTGTCTCTTGACAGCCTCAGGGAAGGTCACTGATTTGGAATCAACTCAATGGCAGTGAGATGTTGGGTTTTTTGTTTGCTTTTTGTTATAGAGTTAGTGTAAATTAAGTCCACTCCAAGAGAATTGGGGGGTGGGGTTTCTGGTTAATAATTTCTAATATTTGGCAAAACTGTACCATGAGCCCATCCTTCAAAAATGTCTGTTGTGGTTTTTATATACTGTCAAATAGTACTCAACTAATTGCTGACCATCCAGTGGGTTTTCAGAGGCAGTTAATCACATAAGACTACTCATCTCTCTCTCATGGAACAGCTGATGCATTTGAACCATGTGCCTTTGGTTTGGCATGCAATTCCTTACCAGTAATCCACCAGAGCTCCTTTCAAAAAAAAAAAGCCAAAATTTTTTAAATCCTTGAGGCATAAAAGCACATTTCACTAGAGAAAATGCAAGTCTATTATGGCTGTCTCAATCATCAAAGATCTTACTAATGATAAATAGCAATTAATTTTTAGAGCATTCTAAGGAGTTGTGCTACCAATCCAAAGATACTCAGTTTGAATCCGTCAGCTGCTCTGTGGGACAAAAATGGGCAAGCTCCTCTAATGACATTTATAGCCTCTGAAAACCTGAGGGAGGGTCAGCTAGGAGTCTGTCTGTCTGACTTCATGGCACATCACAATAAAAATTCAATTTTCCCCCATAAAATGCTTTCACATGTGCATGTAGGCACAGTTCTTAATCTTTCAGAATATAATATTCTTACAGTGAATTTTGTTTGGGTTACAGATAGCAAAACCAGAACAAGCCTCAAGTAGTTAAAGCCAAATCTTGGAGGAAACTCACACACGTATCCTCCCCTCAAAAATCTACTAATTTAAAGTGAAAGTTAAAACTTAAGTATAAAAACCTTTTATTTCTTTTCAGTGACTGTATTACATTCAAATTTTATTTTTTCAAATCACAGAAAATGTTTCTTTGTCCCATGTAATGTAGCTATACAGTTGTAAAGCTTCCCTTTAGCTACAGGGTAATGGCTTTTTTCTGTGATGGCTTTCATGCTGTTAAGTGGACCATTAGTGCTAGACTTGTGCCATTATATAGCATCTTAACAGTAAAAACAAATAAACTTGCAAATCAGCTCAGCATCATACTTCTTGCACTATTAATTTTCTTTACATTTCTCGTTTTCATTTACATTTAAGTTCAATGCAGTAAAATTTCAAACTTGTTAACATTTTCTGGTTCTTCTAGAAATATTTTTATTTCACAATTAGTAAATATAAGAAACTATAAATGAAGTCGCCAATCTTAATTTTAAATAATTAAAAATTAACAACTAAATGAAAACCCAATAATATACTCCAGAAGTAAGTTATCTGGTCTAAATAGAAAACTGAGCTATGACATCCAAAATCAGATGCTAAGAGCCAACCTAGGTTTTTATTATGTATCAAGTCTGTCTATGGCCACAAGTTTTTTGCCACTCATACCAGCCTTTGCACAGTGTACAATGTTGATTAGGAGGTAGATGAGACAGTAGGACAACTGGCTCAGATGGGGCTCCAAATACTTTTGAAAAACAAAATCTTGTCAACAGAGTGCCAATAAGCACCTTCTATAAGACTGTACACTATCAAATCACCTATATACAATTCACTGCTATCATGTTAGAAACAATTCACAGCCAAAATGGCTTGCCTCCAGAAACTCTATGAATAGTGCTCAGGTCTTTCGTTCATAGGTTTGTTATGAGTCATCTACGATTTGGTGGAACTTAGCAACAACAAAAACAACTTACGTTTAAATTATTAATAGAAAAATTGTGCTTCTCCACGATGCCTTTTTCTCTTGCCTTGAAATTTAGGTTTGTATGAGATCAAAATCTCTTAGCCGTGTAATTTTAAGTCAGTAAGAGTAATTTTAGAACATTAACTTCTAGTAAGATGTTCTTTCTTTTTTTATGCCTACACCTTGGTTTTTTTTTCCTTCATTAAACTAATTTACAAAATTCAAATTAATTGTTTTTCACACCAGATTCTTCTAATATCCTTCACCCCTGACCCATCAAATTGTACAATACTATGATTAATCACCCCGTCTCTACATCCTTTTCCCTCTGCTTCCACTCCCGATTCTCATATTCATTCTACAATAATGGTTTTACATAATAGTATGATGTTCTTTCCCATTTTTTAATTAGTATATCCTAAACAATCACCTTAGGCACGACTACATTATAATTGTATCTGTATCAGAAGTACCTGTATTTCCTACAGCTTTAAGATTTCTTCCTTCAAGTCTATTAATTTATTCAATCACTAAAAATATATCTTTATAAGAAAAAAATGTGGTAGAAAATCAATCTTTAAAAAATATCTTGGTTAGCTTGAATTCATCATTTCTATAACTTTTTTACTAAGGAATTAAGCTAAAATAAATACATTTGCTACATTAGAAAACATGATTATGTTTCATCTTTAGAGGAAATAAAATTGTATTTTATATTAATATGTGTTCTTCTGTGCTATACATTATCTTTCTCAAAGGCTAAACCAGTATGTACATGCAAAACTTAAACAAATCAACTGTTGTCAAGTCCATTGTAGATTATAAGAAGACCCACAGGACAAAGTAAAACCAAGCCATGTGGTTTACAAGGCTATAATTTTTACAGAATGAGACTGCCACATCTTTCTCCCACGATGCAGCTGGATATTCAAACCACTAACTCTTCAGCTCTCTGTCACACTGCTGGCAGACCACTAGACTACAGAAAATTGAAGACTATAGTATGAATTCTTCAGTATGGATTACATCCTAACATATTAAAAAAAAAGAAATCTTCACTAATGGGACAAAAGGAAACATTATGATAGACGGAAAAAAGATTGAAGTTGTTGGTTTAATCTCGCCTGGTTCTGAGTCGACAGTAGAAAACAACAATGTGTCTCGATTTCTTAACTCCTAGGTACTCAAGAGTACCGACAGTACATCTGAGCAAGATGAAGCAGGTTTTCAGAGATTATAAATTACATGGGAGAAGACTGCTCATGTTTCGCTCATGGAGCTACTGGAGGAAAAACAACAAAATAAAGGGGAAAGAACAGGGAGATTGAAGAGGAAAGCTGTACTTTTCAGTAGGGAAAGTAGGTACTTTTCAGCAAAGTCTCCAAGAGAAGACTGCATTTGTGTGAAGAACTGATGGTAAGGAAGCAATGTACTACCCCACACTTACATCAAATTATTTTCTGTTTTAATAATATTATTTTGAATATACTATTTAATTATTCTTTCCTCTAAATATAAATTTCAGAAACATATAATCATAGCAAAACCACTTCAGATTTACTAATACAGATAATTTTCCAGTCTCTCTTTTTTACTCTCTATCCATGCCAAAAATAAGAAAATTATGAAAATGATCATAGAAATGAGACCAAATTGACCATGTTGTAGTACCAATGACTATAACTCTAATGTACAATTTTTTCCATAAACTCTAATTTAAAAATCAGCAAATGTACAACTAATAAAATGAATTCTATTCTTAAAGTACTAGAAGTACTGATAAAGTCAAGAATACTGGAGTGAAGAAGAACAAGCTGGCTTTAAGATAAAGGATACTTGAAACATTTTAAGTAATGAAGTGACTTAAGATCATTTAGTAGGATGACATTCATAGAAAATTTCTAAGATATTCTGTCATGTAACAATTTACCACCTATCTGAAATATATTCTTCTCCTATTAAAATTAAGGAATGATGATCAATATTCTAGTGTAATATTGGATTATGGTTAAAGTTTATAAAATAAGACCTTTTCTCTTATGATGTAACTGAAAATATCTGGGTATTAACAGCAGTAAAGGTGAATAGTGTGAGAAAAATAAAAGAAACAAGACTGGTGGGTAACTGACAAAGTTACAGTACACACACAAGAAGGATTTTTACATTAATCTCTCAACAAATGTATATTTTATAAACAATTTTTTAAAAGAACACATCTTCAATCTTTTCTTAATCTCCAACAATTTATAAACTATGAGCCTCATATAGAATACTTTTCTGACAATCTGTCAAATTTCTAACTATCAAAGGAAAGGAAAAATGATAAACCAAGCTAGAATTTACTAATGAACTCTGCTACTAATTTACATCAATTTCAATTTTAAATTTGTGGCAAAAAGTTCCTAACATTCTAATACAATGATTGACAAGACTGTTATTATTTTCATTTCCTCTGCAGTAAATTAATTTTACCACTAGCTACAAATTATTTTCTCTTGCATTATTATTACATACCACAGTTATAGCAGGTAAGGAGTTGAGAAAATAGTTCATGTATATTTTATATTAATTAATTTTAAAAAGCACAATATTAAAACAGTCTTCACCTCACAAAAGCCAATACATATTTTTGTTGTTGTAGTTGTGTAACAGGGAGTCAAAACTGACCCACAGCTGATCCTCTGGCAGGTTTCAGAGGTAGTTAATTGCACAGAAGGACAACGACCATCCTACTCCTCTAGAGCAGCTATTGGCCTTGACTGTCTTGGGAATGGTAGTGCAGCTTCTTGCCACGAGGCCACCAAAGTTCCATAAAATATCTATATATGTATGTATTTAAATATGTAGAAAATGAAGGGGGAGAAAAGAACATCTATCTTTATTGGTAAAATCCTTTCTTATTAAATACTAAACATAGTTTATAGTTAAGTTCAGTGTCTTGGTACTTACAACTTACACTTACCACTTGTCCGTTATGAGGGTTTTTATGAGCATATGGAGGCCCACGTATATGATTCCACATCTGGCCAGAAGTCATAGCAAAGACTATACACTGAAAAAACAGAGCATGGTATTATAATATGTATATTAAGAACTGAATGCTGTATGTTTTTTTAAAATAATGGTAATATAATAACCATGTTTTAAAAAAATATCAGCTCACCTATTTTTTCACCTTACTTTTAACTGAGGCCTGTGCAAGTAATTTATTCTATCTGCATCTCAGATATTATAACCATAAAATAAGGATATAAAGTATGTTAAAGTAGATAAATTAAAGAAAGTGTTTGGCATGGTAATAACCTGATATAAAGTCCCAATTAAAAGAAGTCAAAAGCAAAAATGAGACACTTTGTGCTTTAGTGTTAATGAACATATAATAACCATTGTCTAGTCTTCACTCTTTCATTAATTTGAATACAAAATCTTAAATCCTGGATTACAGGATGAATTCCCTGGCTAAATCCTTTTAGCAATGCACACAACAGAGCCAATTCAGATGGTTTAAAGATAGAAAATAAAATTTTTAAAAATCCACTAAGAAATAAACTCAAGAGGTCTTATGCCTGCTGTCTCTATAAGAAAGTTTTTATTTGGAAAATTTATCTTGAAGACATAAGGTGTGTATGACATGGAGAAAAAAAAATATAAACTAGAAACAAGAGTCAATAACTATTAGTTAGGTACAAGCATGTTTCCTTAAATCATGTAGTATTTTTCAATTTATGAAGTGAGATACCATTAGGCTAGAATGTGTTCTTCTGACTAAAATAATATCCCACCCTTCCTACCATACCATGTCTTACAGAGGGAGCTATCATGGAATACTCTATAGGGAACTGTGCTGCTAACCCAAAGGCCTTGTCTCTCTGGCGATTCAAATCCATCCACCATATGCTCTTCAGGAAAAAGATGCGCAATCTCCTCCTGTGCAATTTCCAGCCTTAGATATGTAACACAAAGCTGAGCTGGTTCTGACTTGATGCAATGAGTTTGGGCATCTATCTTACCCAGCAGGCTCTAACTTAGTTGTCTCCTTTTTTGTAGGTATCTTAGATGGAGGCAAAGATTTAAAATAAGATTGAATACATGCATTATAGGGAAGTAGACATCCTAGGTATGTTCATGTTGCAAAGGCAAAAAAGAAGATACCAAAGAGTAAAAGAAAGACTACACAGAATCATTAGACCAAGAATAAATTTAGATTCAATTTTATAATTGTTTAGGAGATAAGGTGTTTCAAGAGAGAAATAAAAATCATACTGCAGGTTCAGAAAGACTAACTCGAATGTTTGCCCCCTTTAAAGTAAAACTTTAGTATTAATATATTTATTTCTTATAAGCCAGTATGAATTGAGATAATAAACATAAAGTGAGGATTTTGAGATACATATATATATATATATATATATATACACACACATGCTGACACAAATACACTTTAAAACTCTATGACTCAGGTATACAAACACAAATTAGAATAATTCATTATTAAAAGAATTATTAAAAAGATATAATTGGTATGTGAGTAAATTTTATTCTATACCCAATTAACAGGCACAGACTTCTGTCATGTCAGTGAATTCAGAGCTTATTAAAATTTATCATTAATACCACAGATAAATAGGCTTCTAGTACTGTATAATACAAAATCTAAAAAACAACTTATTATCTAGTAACTACATTTATTATCTAAACAAATGACCTTCTGTTTTCAATACATCAAAAAATCAAAACCAGTTGTCATTTTGTCAATTCTGACTTCAGAAGATCCCATGCATGTCAGTGTAGAACTATGGTCCATAAATTTCTGATAGCCTAATGTTTCAGAAGTAGATTCCACTCCTTTCTTTTGAGCCACTTCTGGGTTACTTCAAACATCTAGCCTTATTATCAGTAACAGAACGCTTAATTCTTTGAACCACCAGAGACTATTTGTTTTAGATATTGCTGTCACGCTGACTAAGATTCCTAATTGCACTCTGATCACCATATTGAAATCTTGCCCTATCCTGCACCATCTTTATGATCTCCAAGAAATTCAAGCCCACTGTTACTTTGTCACTTCATCTCAATAAAGCTTTTCTCTTTTACAGACCTCCTACTTTTCCTAGCATGACCTCTTTCTCTAAGGCCTGAACCCTTCGAGAGACACACTCACAAGTATGTGAGACAAAGTTTAACTATCCATGCCTCTAAAAAGGCGTGTTTGTTCTTTTTGTAGCCCGAAGTACATTCCATACTCTTCACCAACTCTACAATTCCAAGTTACTGGTGTTTTGTTGTTGTTGTTGTTTTTTAGTCTTCCTTATTCACTATCCAACTTTCACATGTAAAGAGGCAACTGAAAACACCACTGCTTTGGTTCAAGCAAATCTTAAAGCTGATATTCTTGCTCTGTAGCACTTTAAACTGACAACTTTGCTCTTTAAGCACTTTTTTTTAAATTTAGTTTGTTTATTTTTCATTCCAATGAACATCTACAGAGATTTTGGAATTCCAGATTTTTTTCAGTGCAACACATTTTTATATTTCCTAGCAGATGCACTAAACACCCATGTATATTTGATATATTATGGAGGAATCTAAAGTTTGAATTTACCAGCTTCCCTGCAAGCGAAGACAGGAAGTCTCCTCTCATTAAGATTTACAACACTGGAAATAAGACAGAGGTTCTCTATGAGTTTGAAGGAATAAGCTTAATAGCAATAAATTTTCAGCCTGAACCCTTCGTTCAAGAGTCAACAAAAAAGAGGAAGATCTCCAATGAAATAGACTGACAACAGGGGCTGCAAAAATGAGTCTAAATGAATGAAGATAACAGATCTGGAGAAAAATAGAGTTTGAACAGATTCTGGATAAAAAGTCCATGGAATGTACTGAAGCATTAGATGTGGGGTATGAGAAAAAAGTGGTAAAGGGACCTGATAAAGTTTCCAAATACAACGATAAAATAAGCAGTTGAATTTACTGGTTTGAAGTTCAAAGAAGAACTGATCTAAGGTGAAATCTTGAAACCAATTGTGTTTAGGCAATATTTAAAACCTTAAGACGGGATGAAAGCACCAAGGAAATAATACAGAGAGAAGACCAAGAAATGAATCCTCCAGCAACACCAAAATTTATTATGTATAGGAAATGCAAAGGAGATTAAGGAGGGGAAAAGAGAAAGTAATAAAGAATACACGTGTGTGTATGTGTGTACGCACATATGTGTGTGTATACATATAATACATATCCTGTATCCTGTCTCCATTTCTTTTCAATCTTTATGCAGAACAGATTATCCGGGAGGCTGGGCTCTGAGGAAAAATGTGACATCTGTAATGAAAGAATCATCAACAATCTACATTAAGCATATGACACAACCCTGCTTGCTGAAACTAAGGAGGACCTGAAGCACTTTCTGTGGAAGGTCAGGGACTGTAGTCTTCAGTACGGTTTGAGGCTCAATATCAACAAAACAAAGAATCTCACCAATGGGCCCATTGGCAGCATCATAATGAAGGGTGAAGAGATTAAGATTGCTCACAGTTTTGGTTTGCTTGGCTCCAGAGTCAACACTCTTGGCACCAGCAGCCAGGAAATTCAAGGACGCATTGCAATGGGAAAGTCTGCAGTTAGAGACCTCTCCAAAGTGCTAACATGCAATGATGTCAATCTGGAGACTAAGGTACGCTTGACACATGCCATGGTCTTTGCAATCACTTGCTATGCATCGGAGAGCTGGACAATGACCAGGGATGATAGAAGGAGAATTGATGCCTCTGAGCTGTGGTGTTGGGGAAGAGTACTGAATATACTGGACTACTAAGAAAACGAAGGTGGAGAAGGTGAAGCTGGGCTGTTCCTTGGAGGCAAGGATTTTGAAGCTTCGTATGACATATTTTGGAAATGTTGCAAGGAGGAACCAATCTTTGGAGAGGGACGTCATGCTTGGGAGGGTGGAGGACAGCGCAGGAGAGGAAGACCCTTGATGAGATGACTTGATTCAGTGACTGGGGAAATGGGGGGTAGGTGTATCGGGTATGGTGGGATTGGCACAGGATAGGGCAGAGTTTAAAGCTGTTGTACATAGGGTCGCTATGAGTGGCAGGTGACTTGACGGCATATAACAACAACATATACACATAAAATACAATTATATATGTGTGTGTGTATTAATATATACAGCATAATGGAAGAAAGTTAAGGAGCATGAAGAGAACAGCTACATCAACACTGATGAGGGATCACTAACATAAAGATACAGCAGTGAAATTTAATTTCTTAGAAATTATTTGCATCCTTGACAAAAGCAGTTTTAAAAGACTAATAGGAGAAAAGAATCAAACAAACACAATCATTTCAAAAAGTTCTACCGTAATGACAAAATACCTAGAACAGAAAATGGTGTTACATTTCTTTAAAGATGAATTACAGGATGATAGTTACTGATAAAGAGAATGATTCAGTAGCAATGGAAGTCATCAAGAAGATGTCGGAAGAAGGGAAATTGTTCGATTACTGCCACTGAAGAGGTAAGCAGATAATGTATTTTAGAACATGTACTACTTTTAGATAAGCATAGAAACAACTGGTATAATATAGCCGTATTTAAACTCCAAACAGTTCATGCAGAAAATGTAGTGGTGCAAGAAGTTCAATGTACTTAAATATATTAAAATTAAAACATTTTTCACTAAATTAAAATTAAATTGTGAATTTTTTTAAAAATACTCATGTTGTGCACGATTTCCTTCTATTTGGATCAGCAATCAAATCCATGGAAGCAGCAATTAGAAAATTTAATGACACATTGTATTTAATCTGATGCAAAATACTTAAAAGTCTTAAAGAGAAAAATGTCCTGCTAATAACTAAGGTGCATCTGGGTTGAAGCCATGTTCTCCTTTAATAACCTCAAATGTATGGTAAAGCCCAGAAGAAATAAAGGGAAAGTGAACAAGTATTCATCTGTTAAAGTATGCTACTACTGCCAAACCGTATTTCATACTGTATACTGTCAGAAGAACAAATCACTACCGGAAGTAATAAAACCAGAACATGCCC